GCGGACAAACTTGGTGGGAAGGTAGTGCTTGGCTTCGGAGTTGTCTGGTGGTCGATTGCAACTGTTTTAACTCCTATTGCCGCCAGAATGGGACTTCCATTTTTACTTGTCGTGCGTGCCTTAATGGGTATTGGGGAGGTTAGTCTCTATATGCATATTCCCAGTTTCTTCCAAAATCTTCTACGCAGCTGATTTTCCAAGCATTTTAAGTAGTCGTTAGACCAGTAAGTAGCCTGAATGTTCTTGTTATGGACATTGTAAGAGAAACCAGTTGTTTCACGCTTAGCTATACTAAGCATAGTGGATTTAAGAAGATACATCTCATAAACTTGTGGATCAATTTTGGGGCCTCACCGTACACTCTGATTCTTTTGTACCACAACTGTAGTTGGTAAGGAGTTAATTCAAGTATCGCATGCATAGTCTCTTGTTCTGACTATGTAAGTTCTCGTCAGGGTGTCGCGATGCCTGCCATGAATAATATGCTCTCAAAGTGGATTCCTGTCTCAGAAAGAAGCAGATCTCTTGCCCTAGTGTATAGTGGAATGTATCTTGGTTCTGTTACAGGATTAGCTTTCTCTCCTATTTTGATCCAGAAGTTCGGATGGCCATCAGTGTTCTATTCCTTTGGTTCTCTTGGAAGCATCTGGTTTGCGCTGTGGTTGACCAAGGTGAGTTTGTCTGCTTTTTCAGTATCTTTGACTTATGTTATTTTTATAGTCTTTCAAAATTTTCATGACTTGTTATCATTATTTCTCCCTTTTCACAGTTTTGCTTAAGATAAGAGAACCCTTTGTGCTTCTAGTTGTGAAGTTCTAACAAAGCAACATAGTTATTAGTTTTCAACTTCTGCGATCATCCTTTAGGAGCGTCAGTTTCTTGTCAATGTATCTAAGATGTCTGGTTGTTATTTCCTTTCCATGATTTTTCATGGTTGAAACATCATTCCATGGTATAACATTTGTTATACGTTGACTATTTTGTTTTACAGGCATATAGCTCTCCAAAAGATGATCCAGGGCTTAGTGCGCAGGAAAAGAGGCTGATCATGGGTGGCAGTGTCTCTAAGGAACCTGTCTCTAACATCCCATGGAAACTAATTTTATCAAAGGCACCTGTCTGGGCCCTCATTATCTCCCATTTCTGTCATAACTGGGGAACATTTATTCTACTGACATGGATGCCTACATACTATAGTCAGGTATGTCTGATACTGCTGTCTGGCGCCATTCTTCTTGGAGTTAATTCTTTTCTTTGCATTTCATCATCCTGGAAAATGGAGAACAAAAGAATAAATAAAACTTTATTTTTTGTCTTCGTCCAAGTGGGATATTATTTGATTCATGCACCGTTTCCTGGAGACTAGCTGAACCGTAGATCTCAGAGATTCTATTAATGATACAGGATGCTGTATGGTTTTATGCCTCTGATTTCAGTCCTAGCAGGACAGGAAAACTGCACCCAATTACCTGATCCATTATGCAGTCTGTTTTTATATTTTAAATTGATTTTGCTGATTAACTGCCCAATTCCTTGAAAACTCTAATCAAGATTGTAATCATTAGAAGAGGAAGAAGAAATGTTTAATCAAACTCCAAATGGTTCTCGAATATAAACTTTAACATATTCAAGAAGTCACTCTTGTGACTATGCATGTACAGCTTTATTAATTATGCTGTCAAAGACTTCTTGAAGTAATTACAAATCCCGGGTACACTTGATACTTCAATTTATCTCACCTTCTCCTCTCTTCTGTTTCCTCTGATTTCCTTGGCAATTTACCATTAATAAAAATAATGAAATTTCACCAGGAATAACAGTAAAGATTGGTAAAGATGAACTCTATCTTAACATGCATGGTTATAGGAGTTAATCTAAGCATCTGAGCCTGGTAGCCGGAGATCTGGAATTCTTGCTTGACAAATAATTTGTGTTCATTTCAGATTGGTTTCGGCTAGTCTTCTGACATTCCATTTGTTTTGTGCATCTGTTTCTTTTCTTTTTCCGTGCTTCTGTGGAGTGTGATGTGACTGCCTTAGAGATTCCTTGTCAAGATAATATAAATCTCAAAATAACTTTAAGCACTTTGTGAGCCATCTTATCAGTCAATAATCAGCTATGCCTCAATCTCAAATTAGCTGGGTTGGCTAATCCATTTCGCTCGACTAATTATGCAAGTCCATTTTCTTGCCTTCTAATATCAATGTTTCTTGTGGTATCATGAAATATTTGTCTTGCTATCACTGATGACTCTCTTAGATGTTGAGAATCTTCAAGGCTCTAGAACTTGTAACCATAATGCTGAATCTGGAGTAATGATCTTGTGAAAATTTCAGTTACTCATATTCCAACTTGAATTTGGATATTGGTTCGTTTTGTCATACCTTTAGTGCTTGCCTTACTAGCTCTAGTGGATCTTGACATTTCTCTGTATTCTGTGGATTGAATTTATGAGGTTACGGGCTAAACTATCTGAAGTGACTCAATGCTAATGGATTTTTTGAAGACGGTACCGTATTTAGAACAAACTTTATTGTGCAAGCTAATTAAGGTCTTTCTCTCCAATCTTTTTATCTCTACAGGTTTTAAAGTTCAACCTCACCGAATCAGGACTACTCTGCGTATTGCCATGGCTGACCATGGCCGTATTTGCAAATGTAGGTGGTTGGATTGCCGATACACTTGTGAGCAAAGGATTCTCCATAACATCAGTTCGTAAGGCAAGGGCTTCATAAAACTCTTGTATAAAGTTTACTGTGTATAGCGTTATAGTTTAATCATCTAATGATGAGCATTACTTGAATTTATTTCGTTTCTAATAAATAACTACCAAAGTAAATTTGCAGATTATGCAATCTATTGGTTTTCTGGGCCCTGCTTTTTTTCTTTCACAATTAAGCCATGTGAGGACTCCTGCGTTAGCAGTGCTATGCATGGCATGCAGTCAGGTTGGTACCATAGGATAATGGAATGACATACTTTTGGGAGATTTTTGAAGTCTGTTGATTAGATATTTTGATTTTTTGATTTTTTGCAAGGGATCGGATGCATTCTCTCAGTCTGGCCTCTACTCTAATCACCAAGACATTGGACCGCGTTACGCTGTAAGTACCTCTACTGCCTATAAAAGCTTTATATGTTGATTGACATGTCTAGAATCGTTGTCCTACTTTTTTCCCGGTTAGTAGGTAACTGCGGTCCCAGGATGCAACTCGTGAACTTTATCTTATCACCATTGGTGGAAGTTCTTGTCTGGACACTGTTAACTATATTTTATGAATTAGTAATCATGAAAGAAATTTTATATCATGTTAGCTTGTTGGTTGATGGCTGTAAACCTCTGCTAACGCTTGCCTCAACCCATTATATTTTTCACAGAACAGTTGGACATTTTGTAGCTTGTTTTGAAATTTAGATGTTTGAAATTTTTTTATACATCTCCTCCCGCAGGGAGTGTTGTTGGGATTATCTAATACTGCTGGAGTGCTAGCTGGTGTCTTCGGTACAGCTGCAACTGGATACATACTACAAAAAGGTATTTATGTTGTATATTTTCTTATCAGCTTGGTGGTTCTGAATGAGAATGTTGGTTTTGAGTTTATTCATGACATTCCTGTATTTTCCTTCTGCAGGATCTTGGGATGATGTATTTAAGGTGGCTGTTATATTATACATCATAGGCACATTAGTCTGGAATTTTTTCTCAACTGGAGAGAGAATCCTCGAGTAGATATTAAAGGTTGCATGAAGGAAGCCTAGTGTAACTTAAGAAATCAGAAAAAGTGCAAATCCATCGGATACCTGGAAACGAGTTTTACTACAAGCATAAATTCCAGTTATGAGTACAAGGTGCTAATGCCCCCAGGTTTATACATAGAAAGTCCCCTGCAATGAGGTCCGTAAAACAATTTTCAGAGTTGCTTTCGGAAAGTTTCTCCTTAAAGGTGCTCTTTACTTGCATAAAACTTTGAACCATGCTTAGCAAAAAGCTATCTGGGTAATTTGACCTGTAAATGTTGGTAAATTTACTGGCATGGATTTTCCATAGAACACCTGATATGAAGTCTGGACATTTTTTTAGCTTAGTATTTTCCTTCAACCTTGATACCGTTTGCTAGTCTTGTTGTACGGACGCGTTCCATTATACTTGTTTAATACTTCTCAGGATGTTGATCTGACACTTAACGATGGACTCTAAAAATTTTACGGAACTTAGATATGATAGTACCAAATGTAATACCTAGATTTGGTTTTGCTCTGACCAAACTCAATACACTCAGCTTAAATTTCTCTGTGATAAGAGAACTGAGCTGGCTTAAAAAACGCCCTTCAGTGCTATGTGTGATGTGGATTCCTTCATATGGATTTAAGATCCCCTTGCTTCATCAATCAAATACTCCAATAGAGATATTTAAGGAGAGATGTTTAGTTTCTGGTCTGAACACCAGGATATGCATCAGCAGACAGGATTTTGCTAAGTCCTGGAAAAGAAATAGAGTTGAATTTACAAAGAACAGAAAATGAGATTATAGAACCATGAGATTGGGATATAATTAAGCTAAGGGCCCGTTTCCGTAATAGACTTTGAGACATCGCCTAGATAGACTTTAAAATCTTGCATTTTCTTGGATGATAAATTCCAGGTAATATGAGACTTGCCATTTCAACGAATTTCACCTTCAAATGAGAGAAAGATTTGCGACAGCTAGAGTTCGACTCCTAGTTGCAAATGTCACTAATTTTGGGAAAAGGAAATTGAATTAAGCAATTCAGTTAGATTAGTTATTAATTTGATTGTAACCGATCTTCCAAAAACTAATCTCAACCTAGGAAAGGGCTTTACAGAAAAGTTTTAGGTTCCATTTATGCTTGACCAGTGGTCCAGCTTTCTACTTTCGCTATTGAGCATTAAGCATTTAAAATGTAAATTGTGGGACAAGAGGCCAGAAACAAAACAAACGCCATTAGTTATTCAAAAATAATAACAAGATACAAAAGAATTAACATACCAAACAAAGTGAGACTGAAAAAAAAAACTAGAAAATACAAAAGAATTCTAAGGAGAATAACCAAACAACGTAAAAGGAACAAATAAAGGGGTCAGCTTTAGGATACTATAGAATAATTAAAAGAAGAAAAGTAGTGCAGCTAGATACTTGTACAACTTATTACTAGTAAATTATTGAGAAATCTTCCTCCTCTTCAACCTCAAAATCATTTCCAGTTGTGCTCATCTACCACCGAAAAAAAAAGTTTGTCTCACAATGAATGAGATGTACCTTAAAATCATGAATACCGTCATTTCTCCTTTATGACAAAAGCTGCCATAATTGAGCATTCATGTGAGAATTAACCACCATAAGCCAATCCAATTGAACTAGCTCCTTTGCAATCAATATTTGCCGACACCATTCTTTAAACCACCTCAACCACCCTCCTACCCCTCTCCCCATTATGATCATTCATCTTTGTCCCTATGCAATTTTTGGACTAATTGGACCTCTTTTTCCTTCTTTAGACTATCCGTTAATAGTGTGAGGTCTCTTGGAAGAAGATTTACTTTAAGGCCGTCTTTCATGAACAAAGTCAATGACATTTTCTGCTCCACCTTATGGCCGGGAGCCACCATGAGCCGGTGGCGGAGCAACACTGCTGCCGCCACCGACTTCATTTGCAAGTATGCCAAGTCTTTCCCTAGACATATCCTTGGACCAGCATTAAAAGCCACAAACTTGTATTGTTCATGCATTACAAACTTTTTACCATCTGGGGTTAGCCACCTCTCTGGCTTGAACTCTAAGCAATCCTCACCCCATGTAGTTTTCATTCTTCCAGCTGAATATATGGAATATGTTATTGATGAACCTGCCGGAACAAATGTTCCGTCCGGCAACAAGTCGTCGACCACCACGTGCTTTGAGTCCTCCGGCACCGACGGATAAAGCCGGAGAGTTTCAGATAATGCAGCTTTCAAGTAGGTTAGCCGATCAACTTCCTCGAAAGCTAACGGCTCATCGAGCCATGATGATGTGTCACTGCCACGTGTCTCTATCAAGACCGTGCATATTTCGTGTAAGATCTTTTGTTCAACTACTGGATTTTGTATGACCAACCAGAAAAACCAACTCAATGCGACCGATGACGTGTCACGTCCAGCTAGGATGAAGTTGAGTGCCACGTGTTGCAAGAACTTGTCCGTGTAGGATTCCTTCTTCTTCATGAACCTTGATAATAAGTCATCATGTGGGTTTCCATCTTTTTGCTGGCTCATCAACTCAAGCTTACGTGTATTGATGATGTCAGACATGTATTTGTCCAGCTGTACAAGGCTTCGGTTCAAGCTGACTTCCATTCCTAGCCCAAGCCATTTCTTCAGCTTCCATATAACTTCAGGTAATATGAACCGCTGCAGCGACGCCTCAGTGGCTCGGTCAAAAGCCGAAGAAAAGGTATTCTCCGGCAAGCCGGGTGCCAATGTTTGCGGGTCCTTGCCAAAAGCCAAGCCGCAAATGTTGTCGAAAGTAAGCCTAAGTAAAAGATCTTGTAAATCAACCGGCTTGCTTTCAAGCTGAGCCGTCTTAAGAATTGGACAGAACCTAAGCTGAATGGCTCGGTTGACCCATCGAGCCATGGCTTGGCGGAGGGTCCTAGTCGTGAACTCAAGCGCC